GCCTCTATCCCAATGGTGGTAGGAGAACCACCGGGATTGAGGATTTGCCTGGTGGGCTGCTCCACGATCCTCCATCTATTGGTGGGGAGCATCACCTGCTGGAAACTGGGTCCAGCGTTTTCTTGAATACATCAAATTCTTGTATGACAACATTTTTGGAACTCTTGGGACCCTGCCAGCATTGATTGCCCTGGGTCTTAGGGGATTGACTGTGCAGGGTGTATTTCTTTAAGAGAAACTATGCAGTCGGTAGCCTGGGAGGAAAGAACAGGTTGCCATCTTGGACCCGGGGGCCACCGGGACTCATGGCTGCCTCCCCGCTTCCGATCATCAACAATTGACTGTAGTTGTAAAGCCTGTGCTAGGAAAATGCACAGGAGCAGCTGAGCAGATGAAACCGGTACTACTTAGATGATCAGATACCGTCCCACAGACATTCCTCCAGGGCCAGCGGATTGGGGGGGGAAGGGATCAGTGAATTCCTGAGCTGGTCGTAACGGTTCCCTGGGGTCCACCCTTGTCCATTCACGGAAATGGAACGAATAATCCCTTTCCAACTCTACCCTTTGCCCCCCTTGCGGCCCCGTCCCCTCTTCCCGTTGATGCTCCGGTTGATGTTCCTGATCCTGCCTTTTTTTTCTTTTTTTGGTTGAGAAAACCGGGCCCAGTGCCCAAGGCTGATATTACCAAATTGAATAAGAAGATTGAGGCCGGGGTCCTCACAGTCTACCAGGAGAAACCAAACCGAACAAGCTGAGAACCGGGCTCAGCGTCTAACAAAACTATCCACGCCACGTTGCGGAACCAGGCTGCTGAACCCACCAACAGCTCCCCGCAGGCAGTCCTAGAAGCGGAGAACTCGTGTCCTTACAAAGTATTGCACCTTCTCGTAGAGATAAGCAGCAGCAGCAGGTTACATCTCCATACGCTAGGAATCTCGTTGTCAGCAACAGGAAAACCATCAGCAAATAATGAATGCATTTCTAGAGCCGCCCTAGCAAAGATGGAACAGTGGAAAGATAAACAGACATCTTTAATAGGGAGATCACTCATTATTAATAATGTAATATTCGCTTCAATTGGTATAAATCATCTATTTGGGCTCTTGACAAATCAGCCCTGAAAGTACTACAACGTCAAGTATCAGCATATCTATGGAGGGGAAATCACGATTATAAAAATGTCATTAGTAGAGTGGCTTGGCAAGCAGTAATACAACCAAAGACAAGGGGTGGATTAGGTATTTTGGACCCAGCCTTGCAAGCAATGGCATTGGCAATTCAATGGATTAAACGTTTGTTGTTCAACCCCCACACCCCATGGTTGGCATTAGCCTGGGAACAAATTACGAGATTAGCACCGGAAACACCCTTAGGGATAGACCCAATGATGTGGATAGAAAATCGTTTTTGGGGTATACCTGTAGGGAAATCACAGCTCCCAAGCCAAGAAACGAACTCCAAACGTCAAGCAGCAAGATTAGATATAAAAAATGACTCATTATGGCCAGATCTAATCAAAATATGGAGAAAGTTACCTCTTCCAGATAAGATTCCACCAAAAAGATGGGAAGAGGGGGGCCAACAGCTGCTTTTTAACAACAGATGGATCACGGACTCCCAAGGAAGGATGCTACACTGTACTGACTCTCCTTGGAAAGGATGGATTAAAAATGGTATTCATAGAATAGGAGACCTCTAGAACGAAGAAACAAAGGATTGGTTCTCCCACTCAGAGCTTTCTCCAAAGCTAAGATACTGTCGACAATTTGATTCAGCAAGGGAATCAATAATTGAATTGATCCCCTTAGATTGGGTGAGGATACTAAGAAAAGGACCAAAGATTCTAGAAGATGATTGGGTTGGTCTGCATGATAATGAACGACTGATTGGCAATGTCATTATGGCTCACAAGAATGGATCCTTTCTCATTACAATTTTCTCTTTAGGCCATAATAACATACTTCAGAAAACTCACCCACAAGAAGTAAGATGGGTACAGATGGATCAGATTTTCAGAATAAGAGTGCTAGAAAGTACAAACCAATGGCATGCCTTCAAACCTAACTATCCAATCAACAAACTCCCTATGGATCCGGCTAACTGGGTATGGACTGTAACAATTGGGAAAAACAGAAAGTATAATCGCACCCTACACACATTGTCAGTCAAGTCGATATATCGTATGCCGAGGCCTAGACTGAACCTAAAAGATAGAGTGGAGACAAGATGGATGAAACATCTAAATGTAAGTAAAAACTCTCTGAGGAACATCAAATGGTTCAAAAATATCAAGTCCAGACCTGCCAAAGTAGCATCATTACAATGGCAAATAGAGCATCGATGTCTCCCCACAAATGACTGGATTATAGATAGAACCTCTCTAGAAATAAGAGGGTTGGCTTCCCCCTGGTGCAAGTTCTGCACCTCAGCATTCCCTTCAATGAAAATTCCAGAGACAATCGAGCATATCTTTCTACAATGCCCAGGGTCGATATGGCTATGGCGCTGGTGGGACAGGATATGGAGCACCTTAAAAACTTCCCACTCGTGAAAAAGAACAAGCAGATAATTTTACTCATAACCTTTTTATCACTGGAAGAAGAGCACTCATGTGGCCCATTTGGCGGAGGAGGTGTACGTATGAAATGGAGGGAGCAAGACTGGATGGTCCAGAATTCACTGATTCCATCAAACAACAGATTCAAATAGAGATCACAGCTCAATGGGGAAAGGTAAAAGAAAAAGTTAATTATTTGTCGTCAAGGAAACAAATTATTCAACACTTTCAAAACTTTAGTGGCGAATGGCTAGGGGGCCCACAAGGGGGAAGAATTGGCAAGATCGTATGGGGAAGGGTCAGAAATGAACAACAAACAAGTCACCAAGAGAAACTTCGACGGGATTATCGCATTGTTTTTCAGGAGTGGACAAAAATAGATATCATTATCCCTCTTCGCCCTCTGGCTGACTTCCCAGACCCATTCCCTCCAGCGGCATTGAGTTTAGTTCCCAACAGCTGGTATGGTAATTTGTAAAGTAAAGAATTCAGATTCTGCAATAACTTGCAAAATCCTTATAGGTAGCTATGGTGCTGCTAGAAATATACTGTGAGATCTGACGCTCAGTAATTGAGTGAAGAGGGAGCTGATAGCAGAAGGAGATACAGGAATTACATTCTGGAGGTTACAGTAGGTACACCCAGTTTTCTATGTTCATCTCATTACTATCATTCTATGTTTCTTCCAATATTCACGTTTTCCAGCAGGTGTTGCTCCCCACCAATAGATGGAGCCTCCCCGAGAGTGCTAGCGGTGTCTGCCTGCAGCACCTCTAGCATTAACTTGGGCTTGTTTGAAAAAAAAAAAAAAAAAAAAAAAAAAAAAAAAACATCTCCATACGCTAGGAAGCTCGAAAACAACCCACCAAACCAAACCCCAACAACCACCTTCCACTGTCCCCAATACCTCAACAGAAGTCCACCCTGCCCACACTTGATCCATTGTTGTCGCTTTCACCCCTCACACACCTTCTTCCTCCCCATAATCAGCTTCCCCCACCGCTTCACTCCATGACTTGACATCTTCGTGCCGCCACCATCGTGTATCGGCTCCGCCACTCGTCGCAATTGGCCCATCGTGCTGACCCGGTTTCGCGCCTTGCAAATGTTGGGGCGCAACGCTCCGGGTAGCGCTGCGCCCAACACGGGAAGTCAGGGAATGGTTCTCGCCACCTAGACTAAACCTGGACCCATAGACTGTTCTGGTAGCACCCCCCAGTCCACCACTGGATTGTCTTCCTCCCTCGACTAATCCCCAGATCTCTCTACAAGGCCTCACACTCCTGTCATTTGCAGGTTACAGGGCAACGCCCCAGCTCCGCTCAACGTCGTTCTGGCATTGGCATACCAGGGGTACAAAACAAAGAAACTATGTAGATATCAGCCCGGATTAGACTCTCTCTTAAATCATATATTATCCCACATGAGGAAGAAGGCCAAGTGCCGCCACGAATTACAGAACACCGGAAAAACTGGATATAACATGATTGATTTTTATTTTTATTTTTTCCCTTGGTAATGAACTTCTAATAATTGTATGAGAAATGTGAGATAATGATACTAATGATGATGATGCTAATGATGATGGCGGTTAGTATGTGAAAAGTTTTAGAAGTCTATGCTATATCAACAAATTTGGCCTTCTAATCCTAGAACAAACCCTAGCCCTCCCTGAGCCAGGACATTACAACTCAAAGATATTGTCATCCTAGCCAAAATCAACCATAGCTATCCTCTTCTCGCCACCTAGACTAAACCTGGACCCATAGGCTGTCCCTGGTTGCACCCCCCAGTTCACCACTCGATTGTCTTCCTCCCTCGACTAATTCCCAGATCTCTCTACAAGGCCTCACACTCCTGTCATTTGCAGGTTATAGGGCAACGCCCCAGCTCCGGCCAGCGTCGTTTTGGCATT